GATAAAAATAAAGTTCAATCAACTTATATTTACTGTGGTAATTTTTAATTCATATCTCAAGTTAAGATTTTTATACGCTATTTTGAAATTTCTTTATAGAATATAATTCTATTTCATTTTATAAGCTCCCGTTTGGCCACCCCATTAGTTGAGATTATAATTTTTGGAATAGTATTTTTTTTTTAAATATGTGGTTAAAAAAGAAAAAAAAATAGATTTACGTGCAATATTATTTGATTGAAAAATGTGAAATTCATAAGTAGAGAGAAAAAAATATATTATAATTTTAACAGAGGCCAAATATAAGCTAAAATCATTTGAGTATTGAGAAATGGAATTCGTGAAATGAAAAATTAAGGGCATGTTCTCTTAGTCGATTTCAGGCAATTTTCAGTTTTTGAAAACATGTTTACTTATCTATTTTCATAAATGAATTTCCAAAAATGAGTTTAAGATTTACAAAGAAAACGGATAACGCCAAAAAAATATGTTTTCACTGTTTTCAGTTAAAACCAAGTCAAAACTTTATTTTTTTTGTTTTTAAAAACAATTTTTCAAAATGACAAAAGAACGCGTTTTAAACAATCTCAAAATGGACACTCAAAACACAAAACCTAAAATGAATTTAAAACTCAAAACTAAAAACCAAAACCCGAAGAGAACCGTCCCTTAGCGTTCTCATTTGTGTCCAAATTCTTGGTATTATTTTTTGAATCTACAAGTCTTTAATGCCTAATTTTTTATCATTGCAGAATGAAATAACAAAATTTAGAAGGTTGTTCGAGATTTCCACCTTACGCTTCCGTGTACACTACTTTACAAATTAGATTGTAGCCTTTTTTAAGAACGTAACTTGATAGTACTAAAGAGTAATAAATTTCTCGATCTAAAAGTGTGAAACGGGAAAAATCCCTCGAAACAAGAATTAAAGATATTTGTTCATGAAACAAAACGTAGTTCACAATTTTCTTTTAAAGATTTTACAAAGCATCTGATTCCATTCACTTTCTCAAACAGCATACAAAGTAGGATAAATAGCATAGACGATTAGATGGATAATAGTAAAATAGCAAAGCCCACAGGAAAGTAGGAGAAGCTGAAATAACAGAGCTTAAAGTTAAGAGCTTGTTGTGTCACCATTACTAAGATATGGTGGATAAGCGGTGGGCGAAGCAAGAGCAGAAGCCCGTCTGGGAGTTGATGATGAAGGAGATGCTCTGGGAGAGAGTTTGCTAAGTTCAAAAGCCTGTAACCTCAATTCTGGAGGGTAGTCGGCAACACAACTAATTCTAGGACCAGCACCTGTCGACCATTTGCGCGAGAGTTGATGGCCTAATTGATACGACTTTGCAGCCTTCTTGGACTCAATTCTTTGCAGTATTGCTGCCTTTGGCACATCTGATCTAGGGCTCTGGAGACCGCCAGAGAGAGTCCTCTTGTACTCAATTTGAATTTCAGGCCGACGAGAAGCTTCAGTTGTTTCTAAAGGTAGGTTTCTTTCCTCTTCACTGGGAAGATCGGGTTGAACAGAATCTGATGCAGACAGGTCATTAGCCGATTTACCATTATAGTGACTCTCAGAATCTTCATTTGCTTTGCGGATCTGATAAAGAAGAAACAGGGCAGAACCATTAGGGGAAATATTAAAATTGTAACTCCAAGATGACGACCATTCAGAAGAAAGTTCGCGTGCTGCACTATGAGAGGACAGCAAAATCTCATTGATGAAAAATCCTCAGCTCTTAACATTGCACTTAAACCCATTCAAGTACATCAAGAGCATCTTAAGTTCCAGCTGATGCCCAGAAGGCTTTCTTAAACTACCTTCAGACGACTATGATTGTGTCCACTCCAATGAGGCACGTCAAGGATTGTATCCTTGGGGTTGGGGGACAACTACTATAATGTCACTATGCATCTCATTATTTGCACGAAAAGAAGTAGCCATAAGCAGATTTTAAAAAAAAAAAAAGGTTAAAAACCTTCATGAAAAATACAAACATTATTCATCATATGATATAATGAAGTTATGTATTTATCAATTTTTTGTAGAGATAGGTTTGTGCAGCAGCCTCAGTTGCCCTCAGAATCAATTTATCACCTCCCTTTTCCCCAAAAACTACTTATGAAGACAACTATTCACAAAAAGTACACATAGTTATCTGGGCTATATAAGTAATAATCAGCAAAACAGAAAATGCAGATGATGTACCTCGACTTCTTCCAGGTTGACTCCATTTTCCTTGAGAATTGATAAAAAGCTCTCAAGGCTATCATCGGTTGGTTTATAATGTCCACTGTAAGGTGAGATGCACTGAAGAAAGTAAAGAACTTGCATTAGATCAAAATGTATTTTTGCAAAACCCCAATCTAAATAAACAAATTGCATTTTCTAAGAGTTTGGTTTGGCAGCACAAGTGACTGCGCCACCATCACTCAGTTACCACAGGGTCAGATAAAAAATATATCACACCAAGCAATAGTTTGGAAATCTTGGTTCAGCCTCCCAAACATACACAAACTCTTCTACTAAAGAGTATACAACCGAGCCTCTTAATCCTACTAAGAACGGCAAAAACAATCAAGCACTAATGGCAGTATATAGTGGATGGAAAATTATTGCTACAATTAGCTGGCATCTTCATTAAAAAATTTGCTCGATCATGCTATTAATAGGTTTCCCACACACCAGAATTCAGTTTAGTACGAATTTAGGGAAAACATATTTTATTGACACTCAGCATTACATAACGCAAGACACAAATATGTCTAAAACACAAAACTTCTGGGTAATTGCAACTTCCCAGGCTGTACCTTAAGAACTCCATCTACTACCATGAGCCTTCCAGCAGCTAAAGTAGCACCTCCCGCAAGAAAGCTGGAATGATGGAACAATCCTTTCTTCTTCTGAAGGTAATTAAAATATAGATTTACAAAAATCAATCAAAATTTTCAAGATATATATAGGGGATCATAAAGAAACATCATGTGCATACTTCTTATTTCATTTTAGACATTACCTCTCCAGTGTAGAGTTTCTTGGATGTGCTCACCACAAAGATCCATTTCAACTCTGGCGATCCTTTGTTTGTATGAAGAGGTTTTCCAGTTAATTTGTGCAATATTTTTCCATCAACAACCACGCACTCATAATGTTCTCTCTCTTGCTGGCCACAGCAAAGAAGAATAAAAAACTATGAACACTACTTGAAATGCATGGGTCGGAACACAATGATATTTTAAGAAAGATAGTTATAGACAATACAATTAAAAGGTATCACTAGAATGGTTGCATCACATACTGTATCTATTAACTACAGAAGAATTAAATAAATGCCTCCCAGAAAGTAATACAATTTTAATCACATACCGGCCCAAGATACTCGATGCATTGTTGACGAAGCTTTGATCTTGGGCACTCTTCGAGGTCAACCTCTTTGCCTTCTCCAAGATCGAGCCTGTACAGAGTAGATATGTTGACATTTTAGTGTTTTTCCACTTTGGACTACAGCCAACCAATTACATAACAGTTTAAAATAACAAATAAACAAATTATATAGCTAGATTCAACATAGTTTTGCCTTCATGGAATCCCACCCTACATTCGTAGGACTAGAAAGGCATGAAGAATACTGTGAGAATTTCACAGATTTCCTTATATGATATATTTTATAATAGAAAAAGCATACAAGTTTGTGATCATCACTCATATATTCTTGACGGTGGATTCGGTACTCTCTATCAGTTAATTAACACAATAGTGGTATGACATTCATTTTCCCAAATCCTAGGGTGATTAAATGTAGCTTGCACATTTGACCACCTTAGATAAACTATGATGCTCGCAGTAATAGATCAAAATTTTAAGACATCAAATCAGTTCAAAATTTTCTCACCAGTAGAAGAAGGCTTGACCAGCATTACTTTTACACCACTCTTTATAATACAGATGTAAGCTGTGTCCATAACGGTGCCTGGGATCAATCTAGATAATTTACACAACAATCTAATGTCAACTTCACAAAAATTATCATAATCGAAGGTCAACTATTAAGAAAAGCACAGACTAATGGTAGATAGCTTGCAATTAAGGTAAATGAACTCTGCAGAAAGAGGCATGAGATTAGCAGTAACTCACAGCTTCAATCCAGTGTTGAAAAGCCAATATTTGTGCCTTGGCATCCATAGACAAACCCTTGCCCACCTGAACATGAATTTAGTTAAAAGACAAATCATCAAATGCTGTCCTTTACTAAACACAATAATGAATCTAGTAAATCGTTGTTAAGTTTTCCATCATCAATTATTTTTTCTTCTTCAAATTTAAAATTGATCTAAAAAATTACAAAAAGGAATCGGTTTTATACCTTGGAAGCATTCAAAATGACACGATTCCACCGCCAGAATTCTTTGTCTGGCTTCGGGTAATTGACAGAGGATATCACTAGCCACCTTAAATTTCACCATGAAAACGGGAAAAAAATTGAGCAAATTTGCACAGCATTTAAATAATAACGTTTTTGCGCTTTCTATAATCTAATCAACTAGTTCGTAAATCTACAAGTATATCAATTGAGTAATGCTATTCATCCCCTGGGATGAAAACACAGTCTAGGTAGCAAGCCTACAAAAGCTCCAGAGCAACCATAGCGGAATCTGCTAACATGCGACGCGTACGATAGCTCCGGTAAACCTTCTGCACCTTCGTGCCGGCAGTCTTAGGGCATGTTTTCGGAGCACCACCTGGGCTCATCGGAGCTCCGGCCGATAGAGAGCCTTCCCATTCTCTTCCGCCTACCGCCATTTCGCCGCGTCCATCCTTGCATTCTCGTCGACCGGAGGCCGGTGATTCAACGTCAATCCTTTCCGGAGCTTCATTCGAAAAGCCAGGCATCTCGGGGCACCGAACCTCAGCGTTGCAAATCTCCGAGTTGTTTATGGGAGTGGAAGAAAAATGAGAAGTATCGACATCGAAGGTTGCGAGAGTCTGAGTTTGGACCTCCATTGAAAGAGCTCAGTCAAAAAACATTGAAGAGAACTCGGAGGTGACCCGGTGAGTTTTATAGATAAGCGGCCTGAGAGTCTGAGGGTGGTTTCGCGTGCAGTGCTAGCAAGTAATTTCCCGGTAAACATATGAACCGCACAATTTTTTTAATATTTTTTTTTTCAAGAAATGCTATTCATCCACATTGGGGATACATCCCCAGTCTATGTGGTGAAATTAAATGATAGGTGAAATTAAATAAGTCATTTAATTTCACATATCATTTAACCAATCATTTACATCCATAAAAATTGTGGATGAATAGCATTTTTCTTTTTTTTTCCAGTGCAGTGAAGTCGTTGGTTTACACTATGTGGACTGTATAGACTTTGACGTCTGACCAAAATATATAGAATTAATCTAGGGGCGTTTGACACCCTCTTTAATAGAAAAATGTGTTTTTGATAGTGATTGATGGAAGAATGTTTGNGAGGATGTAAAAATATGCCACACCATCTTTTACTGTCAAAAATATATATATGCGCTTGTTTGACACCCATTTTGGAGAAAAAATAAATTCTGGAATAGTGATTGATGGAAGAATGTTTGGTTAAAAAGTAAGGAGAATTTTTAAGTTTATTTGTGATATTATTTTATTGATAGAATGTGTGGTTGAAATGAAGAAATAGAAAAAGAATGAGAATGAGAAAAAAAATAGGTGTCAAACGGGAGCCTAGTGTGCCAAGAGGGGTTACCTAATGGTTTACCTCCCTCACAAAAAGCGCGGCCCCCACGTGTATTTAAAAATTTCGACTTGTAGTCCACATCCTCTAATGCGAGTGTGGTGTAAAAGATTTGGTAAAAAAAATCGGTAAATATAGCATAACTCAAATATATATACACTATATTAAAAAAAATATCAAATAAATCATTGGGTCGGT